TCTTTTGTTCGAACTGCAAATCAAGAAGAAGGGAGCAGAAGCACAGGCAGCACAGCATAGACAGAAAACCAAGGAGAATGAAGAGGAGCCACCGCAGCACAGCAATAGTTGGAAAAGTCGCACGAAGCCTCATTACAAGACAAGGAATGCAGCAGCAGCAACAAGCGCATTTGCAGCCGATTCACTCCAGCATCACCTTATCCAGGTCCTCCAGAGTCGAGCTTTGGACATCGAACTTCGCATGCAGGTTCCTTGGGTCTTGGTAGCGGGGTCTTTCAATTTCGCAACCAGTGACTGGAGAGGATCCTCACAGAACCCAAGGCCTACATGCATGGAAAAGCTCTGAAACTCCGATGAAACTTCAATCTACGCGGCTCAGGCAGCTTCGTAAGCGTGCCGAAGCCACTGGCAACCACCAGCAGGCGTCCTGAGCCCCAGTAGAGGCAGGACTTCACAGTGTGGGCTGACGGCCTAAGAGGCCTTGCGATCAAGGCTTGGGCCGTCTCAGAAATTGAGGCACCAAGGTTTAGGCTTTTAGTGGTTCCTGATATTTTGCAGTGTGTACTAGGTTCGGGACTTCTTTTCCAAAACTCGCGTACAGGATGCGAGGACAGAGCTCGTACAGGAGCCTTGATAATTAGAACAGGGTGTTGGGTGTTTGGAGTATAACATGGTCTACTAAAACCGGGACTGTCAAAAGAAAGCTATTGCAACCACCTCCGACCCCTTTGGAGCCTGCTGGGCGCATCACCGGCAGGAAGCTTCTCAACATTGCAGTTGTTCCCAGGTTGTTGGTAGTGACAAACTCCTGAACGCGAGGCTGGTCTCCGAGGTGCTGCAAAGTTTACTGAGTCCTAGTAGCATAGTAGCAGTAGTAGTAGTAGTAGTAGCAGCAGCAGCAGCAGTAGTAGTAGTAGTAGTAGTCGTAGTAGTAGTAGTAGTAGTAGCAGCAGCAGCAGTAGTTGTAGTGGTGGTAGTAGTAGTAGTAGTAGGAGCAGCAGCAGCAGTCGCCATCGTACCAGTCGTCGTGGAACTTAATAGACCCAGCAACAACATTTTTAAGAAAGGGTTCTAGAATAATGCTCAAACCGTTAAGAAAAAAACAAAGACCAAGACATTACTTTCTACAACATTTTGCACCTAGTTGAAGCTTGCCGTGAACCGAACAATGGAACAATGCTACTAACTGCTTGGCAGCTCACTATCACCATGATGATTAGCACAAGCCTCGTTCCAGTTACTTTGAATTTCCAGTACAAATGTATTAACGTGACTGGAAGGGATACTGTCACGAATTATTCTAAATCCTTCCGCGGACCCGAGAACAACTGCTTTCAACCCTTAGCGAACCCTGAAAGAACCCTCAAGGGAGAATACAGTGACCATTTACTCCTATACCCCTGATAAGGACATAGACAACTTTCAGGAACCCCTTAAAGACCCACTTCAGCTATTGAGCGCCGCGCCCGCGGGGTCGTGCCTGAAGACAAGGCTGCAGCCTCGTGGCCGTCTTGCTGCTTCGGTTGAAGGGTTCGGGCGGTCGGGTTGGATTTTGGGGGATTTGGGGAGACTAGCACTCGGGTTTAAGATCGAGGGCCTTGGGAGTGTCAGAAACCCTGCGGGCTTCGCGTGTAAGAGTTTAGGGTTTTGGGCTCCTAAACCTTCATAACCTAGAGCCTAATCCCGAACCCCTAAACCCGAAACCTAAAAAACCCAAAAAAAATATCCTAAAGTGACACCACCTCCAGCTGCACCGCCAGCTGCACGCCGGGCTTCACCTCATTCCAGGGTGCCCTTTTCTGGGGGGGGGATTTTGGGGTCTAGGGTTTACGGGTCTAGGGTTTAGGTGTTTTTTTCAGTTTGTGGACTGTTTATTCTGAAATAATTATGAAGGGTTTGTTCTCGTCTCTACTGCACCTGAACGTCCCTAAACGCCCTAAACACTAAACCCCAAACATCCCCAAACAGATCCGCCTCCTCAGCGGAGAAGCTCGCCGAAAGATTGTAGGGGAGCTGCAGGCTCCTTGACGTGAACTTGACGTGTGCTTCTTGCTTCTCCACAGCCTACTACCGATACTGATAGTGATACTGATACTGACACTCATACCGGTACTGACAACTACTATAACTACTACAACTACTACGACGACGACTACTACTGCTTCCTTTCCTACTACTCTTACTACAGCTCCTACGACGACGACCACGACGAGACTACCGCCACCACCACCGCCACCACCACCACATACAAGCAGTCGCGAGATTTAGAAAAAAAAAGGTTTTGTGGTGTGTTTTACTATGACTGTTTTTGAGCAACCTGTAGGAATAGGACCACTAACTATTCTAGTAAGGCTGAAGAAGCGTGCTCTGCTCCTGGAAATGCTCGCACTTGCCGCCATGGCACGTCCTGCTTCAATCGTCGGCTGTCCAAACCCTAAACCCAAAACAAGGGTTTTGGGTTTAAAGTTCACACCCAAATTCACCCTCAACTCCAAACCGAAAGCCCCGGACCCCAAACCCTCAAAGCAACTTGAATCGATGGCAAGCTCTCCGGCCTCACCTCCTTTTGCAGAACTCGGCTATTAGGGTTTTTAGGGCTTAGGGTTCAAGGCTTCCGCGGGTACGGTGAAGGGGTTGCAGACCGTGATGAAATAAGGATGAATGCTGCCCTGTCATACATAGCGTTGTCATACTGTTCATCATGCAATACGGAGCACAAAGAGGTGTCATGTCATACTGCACACTACGTTGATGACACTCGACATGTGTTTGATTGACACTCCGCAAGTGTACATGTGCATAGCAACACTGAACCCTCAACCCAAAACCTTAAATCCTCAACCGTCTGTGCAGATTGCCTGAGGTGGTCCGTGCGATGGCCACGAAGCGCAGTTCTCCCGATCTGCGAACAAGGGTGAGGGTGTGAGGCTTCGGTTTTGGTTCTTTTGAATAGGTAGGGTTGAAGACTTTGGATTTAGGGTTTAGGTTTAGGCTGGCCCCGAAGCATCATGCCGTACGGTTTCGCTGTGTGCTTCTTCGGAGATCTACCCAGTCTTACTACACAGGACCCAAATTCGGGAGGAGCACCTGTGCACGGGAGGACATCTGTGAGACGATCGGCAAGCACATGACCATCAACGCAAGCTGCATCAAGCACACAGCCTTGCACACTTATGTTTGAACCGTTTTACACCTGCGTAGACTCCAATCCACTGGCTGTCCCTAGCTCCGTCAAGAGCGCCGGCACTAGGTCACTAGGTACGCGTCCGAACTTTCACCAGCCGCTTTTTTGCCTTGCCTGTTTCGAAGTGATTCGCAATGGATTGCAAGCGCCGGAAGGATGCCAGATGCCATGCTGTCTTCAGATGTCTGTGCAGAACTGCCGCACGAGCCGTGACTGCGCCATCAAAGCCTGGAAAGATGGCCTTGTTGTCCCTTCGGCTTCACCCAGCAGGCACCTTGTAAGTCCCTGAACGTGACCGCAGCTGTTGAAAGTCTTGCAGTACGGATAACTGTAGCCAAAGGAATGTCTCTGCATCATCTACCACCTCGTCACACACCTTTGGATGCGCGGCTGCAAGGTTGTCGACAGCTGCAGAAGTTTCTGCGTGCATCCAGACAGCACGGATGCACCACTTTCCGCACCCGGACCGAAGGGTGTCAGTTCAAAGGCCATCGTGCAAAACCGTTCATGCATGTTCCTGTCTGGAGACACCCAGGAACTTCTTTGACGGCTAGGTTCAACGCACCAGTGAACGTGCCACGCCTTCAGCATCAGGAACTTGTCTTGACTAAGCCATCGCCCTTTGTCACGCGACACTGCCGAAGAAAATTGAAACATGATTACCACACACACACCCTTGTATCAAGCATTGCACCTCTGACAACTGCCATGGCTTGCTCTGACAGAGCTCGAGTCGTAGTATGTCAGACCGTGCGTGCAAGACTATGTCTCCACAGAAGCCCATCGACGCCTCCAGCGCCAAGCCAGGTACAACATTAGTTGCCACATCTTGTCAGCGTCCATAACATCACCCCCCAGCATCCCAACATGCGTTTTGCCTGCGGTCCTTCTGGTGTCGCAGACCGGCTTCCACAAAGCTGCTCGGTACATCACCCGACATAAAACTGCTGAAGATAAAGCCAGCTCTCCTGAGGCCGAGAACAGATGCCAAAAAAGACCTCCGTTTCCGATAGCCCCTCGTGCCTCAAGTCCCACGGCGTCGGTCACGTGCGCACGCACATTTTATGGAGTTACAGGATTGGAGCCTAGGGTTTGCGGCTACTTCAAGCATCAGAAGACTCAGTGAAGAAGCTATGAGTCGGGTGTTGGGTAGGGGAAGATTTGGGTACTTATAAACTAATCCTAAACCCTAAGCGCTAAACTATAACTCGACTTATATCCTACTTACACTCCGGAGTTGAGTAACCCCTAAACCGCAAGCCCAAGCCCCTGTACGAAGCGTATAAAAGCCGTCATAAAAGCCTTCAAGTAGCTCCTGTCCTAAACTTCTTGCAGATCCGAACCCTTGGTAGAATGACTCTCATACAGAATGGTACTGTAGCCAGAGGTCTCAATACTGGTTACCCCTTCCTTCTCCACGGAATTTGCCCCGTGTTTTCAACCCTAAACCCCTAAACCACAAACCCTAAACCCCTAAACCCTAAACCCCAAACCCCTAAACCCTAAACCATAAACCCCTAAACCCTAAACCCTACACTGCGGTTCTCAGTCCAGAGATGACCGGCTCTGTGTGCCTACTCTGTTGGAGGGCCTGTGTGTGGAACCTTGCGGGAATCAATTTCCCAGAGGGGTCCAAAGTGCTGATGGAATTAGGCACCAAAAGACCAATCCTATCATGTTTGGGGGGAGGGGGGCGAGATTCTAGAATAGAGCATGTTTTTTAACCTTTAAGCCCTGAACCGAATCTAGACGATCTTGGACGTAGTGCACTTCGACTGGTGCATGCAGGTGCCCATCCAAAGGCTCGGGTTGCGGCAAGGAGGTTGGCAGCGTCATCTGCAGGGAAGCCTGGCCAGATCATGCATCCGCTTAGCGCTTTCTGTGCTCTTGATTTCAAGTATCGATCTTCCGCTCACCACTGGTTAAATCCGTGGGTGCCTTGGCACTCTTTTCAGGCAATTTCGCTGGAAGTCCGAATGCCAGCGAGGAACCTCATAGTGGCTTCCGGAGGCTGTGAAGCTGGGCTGCGCAACACCACTGGCGACGAAGGTACCAGCCTGCACACTGCATGCACAGCGTGAATCCACAACTACGCATGTATGCATGGATGCAAGCATGTACCTTATGATATGTATATGCGTACGTTAGATGTATGTGAGCCGCTGCAGTGATTTGTTTCATTGACTATAGGTGCCATTTTGCAGCATGCTCCCATCGTGTTCGTTCATACCAATGCTGGCGGAACACCTCGATCTCATTCGAGTTCTGGTAGAACTAAACCGTGTCATAGATATGCTGTATTGCACAAATAAAAGCACTCGCTCATACACTCTCTTCTTCAACAACCAGGCCCAAAAAAGTTCAAACTTCTGAAGATAGACCTAATATATAAGGCCAAAAAGTTTAAAGTTCTCACATTGGCTATCTAAGTATAGAAATACATGCACATGACATGCACATACATCTCTTCAATGTATCTCATTGGCTTCGAGGGCCAGATTCCTTTGACCCGAATGGAAACCCCAGCGCCCGAAACTTGCCCTGAGCCTTTTGGGTTCAGGGGATTAGGGGTTTAGGGTTTAGGATAATAGAGTTTAGAGTTTAGGGTTTCGGGTTTGGGTTTAGGATTCAGGGTTTAGGGTTTAGGGGTCGAGAGGGTTGGCGATTAGTGTTTTCGCGGGCGGGCGAGTTCATAGATTACAGTGCACCTGTTACCTCTGCTATCTGGGGTTTCTCTAAATCATGGCTAGGTCTTTTTCAAGGATCCTTGTTGTAAGCATGACGCTTATTCCTGCGGATCCAACATAGGAAACCTAATTTGGAGAACAATCTATGTCTTACCACAATGTCTCAGCATGGGAGCGGATCCTTAAACAGAGAAGGTTGCGGAGGAGCACCACTCCACACAGCGGCAACAACGCTCACAAGACGAAGACCTGGGTAGCTTCTTGACTAAAGCTCAAGGCGCTCCAGGCACAAACCCGAAGGCTGCGCACTCGAAAAGCCCTGAAACCGGGAACTTCCACCCGGCCTGGGTAACGAGGTACCTGCAACGCCGTGCACTGCAAAAGCACGGTAGTGGGAACCCAGAAGTTCTCGAAGGTGGCGACCATGTTAAACTCGGGCGCATGACACGGTTTGCGGAAGCATGGTGTCTTAGCCACAGCCCTGAATAACAGAATAACAAAACCGTAAACGCTGTAAACCTTTAAACTAAACCCTGAATCTCCAGGCACGACACAGTCACCGAATGCATCTCTAAACCCTGAACCACGTCAAACGCCATAAAACCCGACCGTGCTCTCCAAAAGCCCTTACTCAGTAAGCCTACTCGCTTGTGAACCTCCCTCCCTTCGACCTTAAGTCTGAAAACTCAATTGTGGAATGTCAGGTGCCGAACTTGTCGATGCAGACTTACGCTCGGCCGCATCATGTAGTTTTTGCTCAAGACTGGGCAAATGGTCCCCAAGCCGGCCACGCTAAAAGCCATTGAACCGCAAGCTTTGGCTCGAGTGCAGGACGTCTGTGGTGTGAAGAAGACCGAAACACAGATTTCATTTGGCGCTGCTTCCTGCAAAAGTGTCTGTGAGTATTGTTGGGCCGTGGTCGACTCGACACCGTTCTTACGTGCCTTTCAGTGGCAAGCCTCACCTTCCCACTGAAAGGCACGTGAGAATGGGGCCGAGCCGCCTCCTCCACCGCCGGTACCGGAACCGGTGGAGGAGGAAATCCCAGTGGTCCATCTCCCGGACACGCAATTCGACGTCTTTCATGTGCGACTCTTTTACCAGATCAGTTTTTGTTCAACAGCACCATGCTTGAAAAGGCGATCTGTGCAGCCGTGCCTTTGTTTGTTAGATTCCCCTGACACGTTTTTAGCACCTCGTGACGGTCTGAGGTCTTATCTGGTCGGGCAAACCTGCCCCATGCAGTCGACAGGAGTGGCTCCGCGGCTGTCCCGCTGCAAGGGGTCTTTATCGAAGTGGAGGAGCAAACGAACCATGTGCCAGTCTCTCTCTTTGCTGCGAGATGAACTGGATAAGTTCGGTAAAGACCACCGGACGACGTTTTAGCCGCTTTGACATCGAAGCTGTCACTGTGAATGCCGGGGCGTTGCAGGAACTTGTCCACTTGAGTCCTGGCCTTCTGCAGATTAGATTGCTGCACCCGGACCTTTTCCTACCTTTCGCTCCTGTCTTTGCTTCGCTTCCCACCTGGCCACTTGGTCTGCGCTGCATTGCAACGCTTCGTCCTCTTCCACCGTCTTGCAGCGCCCGCCGCGCTGCTGCAACGTCTGGCTAGGCAACGACATACCAAACCAGCTTGAGCCGACATGTTTTTCCCACAGGGTTTCAGGGTGTGGCGACAAGTTTCGCTGGAGTATACAGGTTGGCAATGGATGTTGAACACTGGCGTACACTGACCTTCTAGACATAACATGCAGGCGAAACAAATTAGACTCGGGTTTCAGCGGGCGTTCTCGCGATTGACAAGCTCAAAGAACTCCAAGGAATCCTTTTCATGTAGTTCCCTCTTGGAACATTCAACGGGGAGCCTCAGCGTAGAGCCATCCAGCCCTTTAGCTGGGGCGCAGTCTCCTGAATCCGCTAGCATTGAATTCAAACCCGGTCTCATGCTGCAGCAATTCGAACCCCCAAGCCCTAAGCCCTTAACCTTAAACCGGAAGCCCCTAAACCCTAAACCCTAACAAACCCCAAAGGGGGAGCACTCCACGTCGCTTTGGAGCTCTGCTGGAGGCCGGCTGCTCGTGAGCTGGGCCCTCCAGGCGTTGCCTTCCTGCGCTTTAAGGGTTTAGAGCTGGAGTTCGAGGGTTTTTTACGGCTGCCATGCGCACGAGAGTTTGCGAACATGCCTTTTTAAACAAGCCCGATTGCGCGTCGGCACAGACTCAGTTCGAGGGTTTAGGGTTTAGGGTTTGGGGGTTTGGGGTTTCGGGTCTACGGTTTAAGGAGGTGGTGTTTCGGGTTTTCTGCTAGGGCTCCGGGTACCAGACCCTGAACTCAGGGTTCCTTTAAAGGAGCCTTTGAAGGAGCCCTTAAAGGTACCCTTAAAAGGGGCCCTTGAAGGACCAAGAGCCCTTCAGGGTTCCTTCCATGGTTCCCTATTCTGAGTGGGATCAGATTGCACTTCTGGCTGTGAGGAATGGCGCTGTGGTGTTTCGGGGCTTAGGGCTTTGGGTTTACACGGCTTACGGTTGAGATTTTTGAGCTTTCGCGGATCGTCAGGGTTTAAGGATTAAGACTATAACGATGGTGATTACTCATAGCGCGGTCATTTGAACTCAAGGCGCAAAGAATGTTGATGCCAACTTATGATCCAGAGTTTACGGCTTAGGCTTCCGGTGTTAGGATTTGGTGCTGGCTTTGGATTTTTTTTAGGGCTTCAGCGCGGGTTGCTCGGAGGATGGAGTCGGGATTCAAGGTTGATGACCATATTGCTTTCTTCCGAAGAGTATTGAAAAGACGAACACGACACAAAATCGCCACAACCACGATGGTAATTGCACCCTCAGGATCTTAGTCATAGTGTCTTAGAACAGTCATATCCAGCAATGATGTTGTAAGCCAAGGTCCGAAAAATATTGGAAACCAGCTTTCGGTTGTACTCTGAGGTAAAATACACACCCTGCATAGTGACCCTTGTAGTCTAGTAAGACCTCGCTTTGGAAGTATGAACCGGAAATGACGATGAAAGCCAGGCCTCCACTGGTACCCTCATAGTAACCCTGCTTGAAGCCCTTTAAGTAAGACGACGTATTTAGGTGTAAGTAACCCTGACATGAAAGCCAGGCCTCCACCGGGGCACTCATGGCCAAGTAGGAGCCATCCGGGGACCAGGCGCGGCCAGCGCAGCCGTAGGCGGACTGGCCAGGGTCTGAGGGTCTTTGACTTCTTTGGACTTTAGGAGCTTCGGGGCTTAGGAGCTAGGATTTAGGGGTTAGGGAGGGTCTAGGGTCTAGGGTCGAGGGTTTAGAGGCTTTGGGGGCTGTAGGGTTTAGGGCTTAGGATGACTTTGGGGTTTGAGTGGTTGGAACGATGCTGACTATTGACTGCTATTGCTTATGTCTGTGGCCATGTGTCGTTGCTCTTTGTTACCCTAGTCTTGTCAGCAAGACCATTACCAAGGCACATCAACAACAGCCATGTCAGTAGCACTATGGGTTGGACTGGACTCTCATAACTTCTCGTAGTAACTGTGAGGCTGATGCACGTGCATGGGCGCGTCTTCAGTCTCCTAGACAGATGTCTCGCAAGGGTGGGCTTTTGGTCCATGATACTGTCCAGCCACATGTGCAAACTGTTGGTATCTCTGCTGTGCAGGACAGCTACAGCAACAGAGAACACGAACCCAGCACTCGCCACAACGCGCCTTGCCCTCCACTCCGGTGTAAATTCGCTGCCAATACCTGGAATGCAGTGCTGGCATAGCTGCAGCAGGCAGAGTCCCAGAAGCTTCGCTCTCTTGTCCTTGGTGACTATTATCTAGCCCCGAAATCCTGAACCAAACCCCTAAACCCCAAACCCTGAACTCCAAACTACATACCCCTAAACTCCAAGCCCTGCGCCCGACACCCGCTTGGCTGAGGTCGTTTGCAATTCGAAGACGAGACTGAGGACCCAGCTCATCCCCTGGCTGCCTGCGCTCCACCTCAGACTCCGGGGACTTAGTAAGAAAAATATAAAGGCCTGACTAATCGGAAGAGGGCTCCTCTGAGGGTGCCTGTAAAGGAGGGTTCCATAAAGGATGCGATAAGGGCTACCATAGGGGTTCTAAGGTGGGGGCCTGACTTTTGGAGTATAGTTTTGGGGTATTCGTTTGTTGTACTGTCTTGAGACTGCAAGGAGATGCTGTTGCCAATTATTCTGACCCCTGTGTTAGGTTCTTGGTCAGCAGACTCCTGCGTTTGTCCGGCACCTGGGTTTAGCTTGGGATTTTAAGGTTTAGGGTTGCGCAAAAACAGCGACATCAGTCGTCAGAATACCGTGAAAGCGATACAACATGTCACCATATTCCTACTCTCAATAAACCGACAAGACAACTAGCAATAATTAGCACTGTTACTAGCCCAACTAGAGAACCGATGATGCTGACCTTGCGAGCAGAACCGGCATGTAGCGAGATGCAACGGAGATTGGAAGATGCGGGATGGATCTTCGGGTATCTTCGAAGGTGCTGGGTGTTGCATTTATGGCTTGCAGGTTCAGGCTGTCCTGTTCAAGGTTTACAGCAAAGCCAAACCAACTCCATCACCATTCCCGGACCCCCCCTCAACCAACTAACACCTGAAAGCCCGAAAAGCCACAAAGCCAAATTCAGCCCTAGAGCCCTCAAAACCACAAATCAGACGTCAGGCCAGTTGCACTCCCTTGACAGAAAAACGGGAGCTTCTGTTCCAAGATGCATAGAAGTTCAAGCCGTAGACGCAGCATCCACAGGCCTGGCAAGGCATCGGAAAGAGAAAGCAGCTGAACCCCTAAACCCAAACTCCAAAACCCAAACCCCTAAACCCTAAATCCAAACTCCTAAACCCCAAACCCTAAACTTTTGGGCCTTGCAGGGCGTGGAGCTTAGGCTTAGGGCTTAAAGGTGGGCCAGGGTTTGAATTCTACAGGTTGGGAGCGGTAATCCGAATTTGTGCTTACTATCCGCGCTCGCGCTGCCATTTTCGCGATGTCGATGCCAGGACTTTGCCGGCAGAAGTGCTGCAGTAGAGATGTTATGAGACTGATGGACACCACGTCGACCGCCTTCACCACTACTATTACAGCCGCCCGCCACCACCACCACCACCATCACCGCCAGGACGACGACTAGGAAGACGACCACAAAGACTAAAGCCCGAAGCAAGAACCCCGAATGCTGCACCATCAACCCCGAACCCTCAGGCAAGAAACTCTCTGCACAGGACCTCTCTATGGTCTCTAGCTGAGGGGTCAACCTCCGAAATGCAGCAGCAAATTTGATCCTTCGAAAGATATCAAAGGCAGAGAATGCTCCGCGTAATGCGACGAAGGAAATTGCAACGATAAGTAGAAGGGTTGACACTAACAGCGGAAATAACAACCTTGATGGCGTACATGGCCGACAAAACAACGCAAGTAGAATGAAGATTGAAAAACAAGAATCACGCATATGAATACGAAAATGAAAAATAATGAGCAGAAAGGGAGAATACATTGCACCGGTCACTAGCATGCTCGGTACCTCGAGGATCATGGGATGTCGAAAATAGTAAAAAACTTCGCTATCAGATGTTGTCCATCGGGTAACACCAACTAGGGTACTCGCAGCTCTACTGACAACGTACCATAGGGGCCTGAAAAATTAGAATAGGGTTTTGGAATTGTATTTTAGTATGTTTAGAATAAGGAACCCCAAGGATTAATGTTGGTAATTATTCAGGCTTCTATATTAAAGGAAACTACAGGTGGGGAGTTTAGGGTTTTTAGGGCTTCTATGAGGCTTCTATAAGGTATGTAGACCTTCTATAATGCTTCTATAACGGTAACTACCCACCTGAAGATGTCCTAGACTATATTAGTTAGTAAGTGCCCTGATCCTCCCAAGTGCGACAGCGGGTCCTCCTCGTGCTCTTTCCAGGTCGTGCGTTCAGCTGACGGGTTCTGAGACAGGGCTTTGGAGCTGTAAGGTTATGGGCTTTAGAATTCTAGGGTCTAGGGCTTTAGAGCTTTTAAGGCCTTGAGGCTTTAGAAGTTTAGGGTAAAGGGGTTTAGGGCTTGAGGGCTTAAGGAACTTGAAAACCCACGGATCGAACGAGAGGCAAACAACGAACACCGACAACGCGCATGCAGGATGTGATCGGAAGATGCTAGAGACGACCAGTGAAGTGCCGAACTCGTCTGTCACACTATCCTTGATGTGTGGTACTGAGGCCTCATGCGCGGTGCTTGGGATTTGCTGGGGACTCCGGCGCACCGCCAAGCGGACACCGAGCTCAGTTTACAGAGGCAGCTGCATGCCGACAGAACTACAAAAAGAAATAGTACTTGTGAAGTGAGAGGCTGAGCACAGAAGGATATCTGAGAGCACTGTGCCTGACGCGACACAAACCGCTTCGACCGACACATTTCAAGAGGTGCAGTGCCTTGTCCTCTCAGCCATAAAAACATAAATACTAAATGAGGCTAGTTAAATGCTTTCCGCTCTGAAGGCAACATGCGTCTCTGTCACCTTCGAAAAGACCTTGTTCATCTGGAAATCATCGATTCCGTCAGCACCAGTTCAAACAACACTGCGCGAAGGGCCGACACAGCAAGAACACGTCCAATTTTGGGACACTCTCATCACCTGGAAAAGAATATCTGTGTAAGCTCATGCAGATGCACTGTACAACAGGGCACGCGCAGTAAACAGGTCTGCCCAACACCCTATTCTAGCTATTCTGACTGTCGTGTCGTGTTTTAGCCCTCACAGTAACCCTTTTAGTATACCTTAACCAACCCTTGCAGGAACCCAAGTATGGACGGTGCCCTAAACCCTAAACCCTAAACCCACCCTGGTCGGAACAAGCTGGGTCCGCGCACGCAGCAGCTGGAATCATCTTGCACTGCTGGAATGTCCAGCTCCTGGCTGCATTCCTTAACCTCTAACTTAAACCCTAAACCCTTAAACCTGAACCCAAAGCGCAAACCCCAAACCTTGAAACTAAAAAACCATCCGTTGTGCAACAACGTAGCTTGGCTCGAATGAACCACTGCAGCAACTTTTGCCGTTGGGCTCCTGAGCACTGACAGCATGCGTGAGCTGCCTATGCT